AAAAAAAAAAAAAAAAAAAAAAAAAAGCTTTTGCTGTAAAACAGATTTGAGGTGAGGGGGAAATTTCTGTAAACATAAACTCTCATCCTCTCCTGGCCTGGCCCGCCTCAGGTGGTGAATGACAAAATCGTGGCCAGCAACCTTGTGACGGGTCTTCCCAAGCCGACCCCAGGGAGCAGCGGGGACATCATCGTCCGGACCAGCGAGCTGCTGATCCCGGTGACCTGCGAGTTCCCGCGCCTGTACACCATCTCCGAGGGGTACGTGCCCAACCTGCGCAGCTCCCCTTTGGAGATCCTGAGCCGCAATCGTGGCGTTTTCCCCTTCACGCTGGAGATCTTCAAAGACGACGAGTTTGAGGAGCCCTACCGAGAGGCGCTGCCCACCCTCAAGCTCCGCGACTCCCTCTACTTCGGCATTGAGCCTCTGGTGCATGTGAGTGGCCTGGAAAGCCTGGTCGAGAGCTGCTTCGCCACCCCCACCTCCAAGGTCGACGAGATCCTCAAGTACTACCTCATCCGGGATGGGTAACTATGTCTACCCCGCCCGGGCACGCGCAGTCCTTTCCCAGCCCCTGCATGGCCGCTCCTCGGAGCTCAGGAGACCTTGATGCTCTGGAGGTAAAGACGGAGGGGTGGGGGGAGCAGGAAGGGAGTCAAAAATGACCCCGAGGTGCAGCTCTGGGGTACTAATGAGATACCACTACCCTAGAGGAAAGACCTATTGTATGTAGGAAAGCAGAAGTGAAGTGAAAATACTGAATTTGATCACACACAAGAACAAGTGTGTGTGTGTGTGTGTGTGTGTGTGTGTGTGTGTGTGTGTTCCTAGGGATTGAACTCAGGGCCTTCTCACTGAGCTTCATCTCCCTCCGATTCTGAGACAGCAGGGTCTTGCTAATTGGCTGAACTGCCCGGGTTTGAACTTGCAGTCTTCTTGCTTCAGCCTCCCTGAGTGCTGGGATTAGAGACCTGCACCAATATGACTGACTCATTTTATGTTTTAGATACGTGCAGGATATCTTCCAAAAGACGGTTAGTGGGCAGCTGGAAGTGGAGACCAGGCTCAGGAACAGGAACAGGGGAAGGACTGAAGGTCAGAGAATGAGTCTGTGTGCGGCCGGCACTATGGGCCCGGCCGGGCTGCTCACGGAGGGCCAGGCGGTGCTGCCAAGTGCGGCTGCTGCTCCTGGGGTGGCTGAGAGCGTGCGGGGAGCAGGGAGAGAAGCGGCGAGTGCCGGCCCCTCTTTTAAGAAGTTAGGGGCTGGGGAGATAGCTCAGTAGAATAAGTGTTTGTCTGGTAAGTGCAAGGGCCTGAGTTCAATCCCCAGTTCTGCAAAAAAAAAAAAAAAAAAGAAAGAAAGTTTGGTAGTGCAGGAGAGAGAATTCTCGGCAGAGTTTAGGAGAAGAAAAGCATAGCAGAAGTTTCCATGATCTCCTCTAAGGATCCGCAGGTGAGATTTGCAGGTGAGTTCAGGCAGCGCTGAAAATCAAAGCGTGCTCACCGCCATCCCAGGCAAGCTCCCGCCAACCACAAATCACCCTCCTGCGTGTCCTCTAGCTTGGAATGCCAGGCGGGCAAAGCTTAAGTAGGCACAGGCCTGCAGCTTCATACACAGCGGTCCCCAAAAAGTTGTTGTTTTGGGACGGTGTGGTTTTTTTAAGAGAATAAAGAAATAATTTTAAAAACACTAGAAGCAATACGGAATTTCAAAAACAAGATGATAGAAATTCAACAGTTGCTATCTTGCATCTTGTTGCCTTCTAAGTAACTATTCAAATTACTAGATACAAGTATGTAAAATTGGTTACATATTATTCAAATTAAGCATTAACTGTTCCTTTCAAGATAAGTACAATCATCTTAGCTATCATATGTATGTGTATATATTCCCCTTCCTTCTTTCTTTGCTCCTTTCCTTCATCCCAGTCTTTTTTGGCTTTGTGACACAGTGTCTCACGGTGTGGTTCCGGCTGACCTTGAAATCACAGCATCCATCTGTCTTCGCCTCCCTGGTACTGGGATTACACACATGCACCATCTTTCCCAGCAGAAAGTTTATTCTATTCTTTAAAAATAAATAATAGAAGCATCGTTTTATTTCTTTGTAGTTATAGATTTACTGATGAGTAGGTAATAGATTTACTTTTGAGGGAGATGGGGTTTTGTTTCTTTTAGACTTTGTTTTGTTTTAATGGCATACTCTTCGTGTACAATAAGTGAACGTATTTAAGGCGTGGATGAATAATGAACATTTATTTCTCCTCGGATCATTTCTCCTGTCCCTTGCATTCACCTTCTTCTTTCTCTCAGGGTCGGGGATCACACCCTGGGCCTTGCTCATGCCTAACAGTCGCTCTGCCACTGAGCTACACCCCAGCCCTTTTAGTTTTCCTCCTAATGAGTCAGGGCCTCGCTTAGTTGCCAGGCTGGCCTTGAATTGACAGTCCTACTCCAGCCTCCTGACCACAGGCAGCTGGGACTGCAGGCATGTGCCACCATTTCCAGCTCACATTTACTTTTAAGAAGTATGTAATCGTAACTCATTTACTGGGAATGAGTGACCTGAAATCTCATAAACACGTATGCAGTTTTCTTACGTATTTATTGTTCGGGTTGTCAAGGAAGGATTATTTATTTGTTTTATCCAGCTCTAAAAACCTGTGCTATTTATTCTTCTTGCCCTTAGCATACACAAAGGAGAAATGTATATGTGTTGTAAGAGAAAAAAATGTAGGCAAGAACGGGAAGATGGTAGCAGTGTGGGCAGAGAGGACGCGAGCCACGTGCAGCAGAGAACTGCCCGCCCTGGGCCCTCAGCCTCCCTGGCCTCTGCTCCTGCCAGAGGAAATCGCTGGCAACGCAGCCTGCTCCCGCAGCCTCTTGACGTGGCCTGTGCTATTTCCTCTGCCTGAAATCTTTTTTCCTGTCTGCTTCTGTCTGGCCCTTTGGAATTCAGTGGCATTTACTTCCTCAGTGAACTTGCCCAGTTCTGTTGGACATGAAGGAAAGGCCTCCTTTCTCCTCAAGGCCTAGCAGAGAGTAGGGCTTATTAAATATTCACCCAGCAAATCCCTGAAGGAGTATTCAGAATAGTAATTTGGGGCTCAGCCACAAAACCAAAATAACCGTAATATATCTACTTATATTGAATATTTTTGATTATTCATTTTAAAAAGTATTCATTGTCTTTAGCTTAAATTATTTCAAGCTGGTTTCCCCCAGATGTTGAACACACCTGATCTATTTTCCCCTGGCTTTGGAGGGCATACACTCTGAGAATGAAAAGTAGCTTAATTCTAGCCTAAGTAAAATATAATTAGAAAGTGAATCCTCAGAAAAAGAAGCGCTGGGTTCTAAAGTCAGATACTGGCAACATTTGGGTCACTAATTACTACGGACTGTCCCGTACCACTGCTGCTTTCTTTTCACGCATGAACTTGGAGCTGTGAGAACCCACATTATCTAGTCACAGCAAACATCAAATCGAGAACCAAAATTCTCCCTGCAATGCATTACCTCGTAAGAACCTTTCCTGCCTCTTCTTCTCTTTTAAAGGAAAATAATAGCATATTCAGATCAACACAAATTGAAAATGCTGAGACATTTAGAGGAAAAGTACCTTTTAAATATTGTTGGCATTATTATGATAGATACTAACCTATCAAAGGCCAATTATTCTGTGTGCATTGTAGGTTCTGTGTGTGTGTGTGTGTGTGTGTGTGTGTGTGTGTGTGTGGTGTGTGTTGCTGGGGATTGACTGCAGGGCCTTGTACAGGTAGACAAGAGTTCTACCATTAAACTGTACCCAAACCCGAAGATTACTCATCATCATCCCTCTGAAGCACCTAGTAGGGGCTTTTGTATGGATTAGGTATGCAGTTGATCTTTATTGTAAAACATAATGAAAAGCTATAAACTGATTTTACTTCAGGATAATCACATGGAGTAAATAAATGCAGGAGATAGCAGAAACCATATAACCTACTCCGATCCTCTCCAATTCAGCGGAATAAGATTCTAACAGTAATACAGGTCAAGGAACCTTCTTTAAACCAACTATGTTGATGTTCCAGCAGTACCTGAAGAATAGCAACGGACTAAAAAGCTGTACATACGCATGTGGAGCAAGAACCCATTTCAGAGGCTTTTAGATCCCACTCTTTTCCTGACCCACTTGACAAGACGATAGGTGCCCACTAAAAAGCGACTATTTCCAGAGGGAAAGGATTCTTTAGGATTTGAATAGGACAAATAACACAGAAATGATGTGGGCCTCTCTGGGGGAAATCTTCCTTAATATCTAAAACCCTGGCTTCAGGAGGAATCCTCGTGACATCTCTTCCCAGATATCCTTAAGGGGACCCTAGAAGTTACACTGCAAGCAGTAGACTTGAGGTTAAAACCCAATCCTTGTCAGGTGGTGGCTGCATATCTGGGAAGAGGAAGTAATACAATTTCAGGTGAATGACTGCTTTTGACAGAGTCGCTTGCCCTCTGAGGCACTAAGATGAGTATCCAGCAGCTGTGTGCGCCAGTTGCGGCCTGTTCCCTTTGCACCCACTGAAGGGGTTATTCTCTCTTAGGTGTCCAGAATGTACCTGTGAAATATGAGAAACACCTCCTTGAACCAATAATAAACTACACAAAGTCAGAATTCCTGCAATATATTGCAAACAAAAAGAGCCTTACCTGCCAAAGTTCTTTTTGAAACATATGTTGTTAATACTGCTCCACTGAAACACACTGAGTGGCCGGAAGTGCTGTGTTCTTTGGTGGCTCAGCAAGTGGAGGATGGACAGGCAAACTTGTGAGGAGGGTTGCATCCAACAATGCCTTCACTAAGAGGGAATTTTGCTTTCTCCCAAAAACCTGGCGGGCACCCCAACCTGCTCCACCCAGTTTCCCTCTCCTTAAGCCAAACATGTTGGACCAGGTTGTTTCCAACCTCTGTGGAAATGATCAAGTCCTAAGTGCCGCCTGTCCTACTTTCAGCTGCATTTCGGATGACTCAGTGAAGCAGTATTCCTCCCGGGATCACCTAGCCAAGCACTTCCAGGTCCCTGTCTTCAAGTTTGTGGGCAAAGATCACAAGGTGAGCTGAACACCTTTACCTCCTAACCCCAGACCTAAGCCTTCCTTCCTGTTATCCCTTCCTTTGGTCAGGTGACCTTGTAAGAGCACGTGGTTAGGCTTCCTGTGACCTCTGGGAAAAACACAGTCAAGCTGGCCATTGTGAAGCTTAACACCTTCATGAGTGTCACATCCCCACACCTTCCCACAAAATAACTGCTTGTTCAAGGGAACACTGTTGGATCGTAAGATGAACCTGTATGGTCAGGCCTGGACAAAAAGCCAGCGTGTGGCCAATTAAACGGTAACAGACATGCACAGGAGATTCACAGAAAGACAGAGTGAACTGAGAAGGGAAAATAGTACTTAAAATGCCAAATATAGGACACCACTTTATGCATACAAAATTTATAAAAATTCTAAATTGTAATACCTGCAAGGTTATAAGTACACAATGGTGGTACAAATTGGTACATTTTCTGGAAGGTTATTGAGAATTTGTAGTAATAACCATTAAATCATCATATTTCTAATCTAAAAATTTCAATCTTGTTGGTTTCTCAAAAACAAAACAAAAATTGGTTGAACATGTTTACAGAACATTGTTTTACAGGAGAAAAACCCCAAGCAAACAGAGATATAGGGCCACCGTATATCAATTTAATGTAAGGGTGAGCAGTGATTAAAGTGATAAATGTGTGGAAAGCAGACTGTAAAAATGTTGCCCAGACAGTTCGTAGGCATAGCAGGTATGCTACTCTTAAAAATCCAGGCGTGGTGGTGCATGCCTGTAATCCCAGCACTGGGGAGGCTGAAACAGGAGGATCACCACGAGTCCGAGCTGCGTAGTGAGACCCTGTACCAAACACATAAAGTTAAAAAATAAATAAAATCCATGTATTTACATGGCTAAAGTTATATAGTGTGACAGGTGGAAGTGTTTGCTGTTAGCATTGTTGAAACTAAAGGAGTGTCGGGCTGGAGAGATGGCTCAGTGGTCTAAAGCACCTACTTAGAACAAGCTTAGCAAAGCATCAGGGACAGTGGTTCGATCCCCCAGCACCACATGCCAGCCAGCCCCGCCCCCTGGTGGGCTGAGCTGGCCACACAC